CCTCCCCTTAATTTCATACAGTTGCCTCCCTCTACATCTACCATGTGGGACCTGGGCATCAAATCCTGGTCCTCAGGCTTGGCAGCAGGCTCATTTACCCACCAAAGCATCTCATCAACCCTGTGTATATATTCTTTAAAATTTATACTGTTTGTTTGGTTTATGGGTTGTGCCTGTGGAGAACAAAGGACAACTTGTGGAAGTCAATTCTCTCCTACCATGCTGATCTCAGAGCTGAATTCAGGTTGTCGGGCTTGGTGACAAGAACCTACTGAGCCATCTTACTACTGCTTTTGGGTTCTACCTATTTTTGAGACAGGATCTTCTTATGTTTTGTGTTCTTTTGTGATAAGGTCTTACATATTCCAGGCTGGATTTAAATTCATTATGTAGCTGACAACAGACCGTGAACTTCTGATTCTATTTCCAACTCTTACTCACCAGGATTTGTTCCAAGGGTGGGCTGGGTTTTGTTTGTTGTTTTTCTAGACAGGGTTTCTCTGTGTAGCCCAGACTGTCTTGCAACCAGTTCTGTAGACCAGGCTGACCTCAAACTCAAGACATCATCCTGCCTCTGCCTCCTGAGTGCCAGGATTAAAGGTGTGCACCACCATGGCCAGTTCCCCATGGGTGCTTTAAAAAGCAGTACTTGGAGACAAGCATGCTCATGTAATCTGAACATAAGGGGAGACTGGGAAGAATTGCTGAGAGGAGAACCCAGCCGCACCTACATTTCCAGGCCATTTACAGCTACACGGCAAGGTCAGATATCAAAAAAGACCATCCCAAGGGGCAGTTCTGCTAGAACTTAGGAAGGATATAACCGGTTTCTGGCAAGGAGGCCAGGAATGCTGACAAACACAGCACAATGCTGGGACAGCTCCCTTAACGAAGAATCACCAGCTTAGACACTGTCAGCTCGGAGGGTGAGATCCACTGGTCTGGGGCTTGGTGGTTCTGAGTAAAGAACCACAGAGCAGACAGGACAACAGGGTTGTGGTGAGCAGGGCTAGAACAGCCAGTTATCCTATCACTGTGCTCCCCCACCACTGCCCCCGATAGTATGGGGCGCTCAGGAACAAATGAGTGTAACAGACAGACATTTGACAGCTCTAGAAAGGACTTACTTTTTCTCTCTGAGATGCCGAAGGCGATGGAATACATTGATGACATCCCTGATTCGTCTTGGAGCCTCTTCTATTTTGGAAGCCAGGTGAACACAAGCCATGGACACATGCTGAAACGTACATTGGGACACGGGTGTTTTTCCCCAACCTGAGGACCTTCCGGGGCGTTAAAAACTATTAGGAGCAAACAGAAGGTACAGAGACAGCCTCCAGGGAGAACGGTATAAAGTTTGTAGGACAGTATTCAGTTCACTAAGTAAGTGGGCACAACAAGCTAGGTTTCCTCCCAATCCATTTCTCTGATAAAACAGAGAGAAGCCTACCTCCATGGAATGTTTCACGAAGGACTTCGTGTAAAAGAACCGCTGAAACAACACCTGCCCTGTAGCCATGGCCACCTAGGGATGGAGAAGATTCCATCACTTTTGAATGCAGAACTCAAACCTGTCCCATCTGAAGTGTCCAGTGTAGTTCCCCCAGGACAAATACCCACAGGACAGATTCCACTTCCCCAGAGCACTTCTGTCTCGCGGGGCGGTCCTGGGGTTTGTAAAAGGGCCTTGACCCGAGGGCGTGGGGGAGGGGAAGCCCGGGCACGGGCCGCACTCGGAGCCGGTCAGCGGCCAGGTCGGAGGCACGGACTCGGGATTACGTTAAGACTGCGGTGCGGGTCGGGCTCCGACCTCGGGAAGGGTCCGGGACGAGGGCCAAGCCGACAACAAAGGCCGGGCCGGCACTCTCGACCGACGGCGGACGGTTACCCACCACGCTCGCGGCCGCGCCCTTACCTGCGGCAGGCGGAGCAGGATGCCGGCTGCCTGGATGAGCTCGCAGCCCACCACGCGGAGGCCGGTCTCCGTGTCGCTATCGAGACCGCTCGACATGGACGGCGTGAAGCGCAGCTTGTCGTCGGGCAGCAGGCAGTTCTCCAGGGTGATGAGCACGCCCGAGTAGAGCCTGTCACCGATCAGCACCCCCTGCGACCCTGGGGTGGCTCCCCCCGAGCCGGAAGACCCGGCCGCCAACGCGGGGGCCGCCAGCACCGAAGCCCCGGCCGCCGCCGTCGCCATTTTGTGCCGCCGATTCTTTTTCGGGTCCTTCCCGGAGGGCGGCTCCTCGCGACCAGACCGGCCGTCCCGCCTCAGCCTCCGCCCATTGGCTGTGCGTCAGCGCCGCCTCGTCCCCATTGGCCGCACGGCCTGTTCCTCTGTATCGCGTCAGCCGCTGACGCCGGAAGTGGCCTCGGGTGGGGCTGCTCGTTACCCACTCGGCTCCGCGGCCTGGGCGGACTCGGAAGCGGTCGGTCCGGAAGAGATTGCGATGCTGCTACCGCGGGAACCGGGATTCTAGAAGGGAATCTTTCCGTGGGGACTGGGGCAGGACGGCTTCGTCCCCACAATTGCACGCGCACAGCATCACAGCGCGGTTTAGCCCAGGGTCTTTAGTTCTCAACCCTTCCTGCTGGCCTCTGCTCGGCTACAGCTGCGGGTGGATCTGGCCGCATCGAAAGTGCAGGTTAAGGAACTGGAAAGATAGGCTTGCTTAGCTGTTGAGAGCACTGGCTGCGAGGATGAGACTGATGTGGTGAAGGGGACAGTAAATGGTGTCACCCACACAAGTGCTGGAAAACGATCAACTGGAAACTAGATCAGGAGCAGCAGCCCCTCTCCATGGCCAGGGCATCCCAGAACAGCAACATGGATCCCTGCCTACAGAGCCCTCTGAACCAGCCATTAACAGCAAAACTACACGATGACACCTCTGCATAGAAGGTCATGGTGACAGCCCCCAGGCAGTGATGTGTGGCCTTTGGGCTGGTGGAAATATCCTCTCCTCTGGTAGGTGACTTGCTTCTGGCCCAGACAGGGTAAAACACTTGAACTCTTCTTGCACTAAAAACATAGAATCGCATGTAGTAGAGAGCTTAAAAAATTAAAGGCCATGCTTACAGTTCAAAATGAAGCATTAAGCTGCACAGCGTTGTGAAGTGATTAGTTTCCCTTTCAACAAACCTCATGGAGGCTCTGAAATACATCTCTCCTGACAGGCCGTCCTCTCTAGGACCTAGGGGCAACATACCCCACCAGTGCCATGGGGCTGACAGGGTCTGTTGAGATGTCTGTCACTCCCCTTGGAATCTGTTTGCTTTTGTTTCATTGAAGATAACCAAGCAGCTGGAGAGTGGGTGCTAGGGCCCTGGAGGCACTCTTGAGCAACTCAGTCACTCTGTCCACTTCACCTCAGAATCTGATTAGATTGTTCTAGTCAGGTGTGGAAGGTGTGTCCTACCCTGTTGGACCAAAGTTACTGGTCATGTGGGATAGCCATCAGCCTCTGGATCCAGAGCTTTGCCAACCAGGGCTTGGTTCCCCCTCTTCCACTGCTGACATTTGATTTCCAAAGTGTATTTCAATTACCCAATGATAAGAATCATTGTCTTTTCCTGTGTAAATGTCAGGAGAGAGAGCACAGTGTCCTGGGTGAAGACTGCACCGTGCACAGAGCAGTCTCATTTCCAGCCTCTGCTGGTAGGATGTTTCAGTGTTCCAAGGTCCTGGAGCTAGTGAAAGACATGCTTAATGAAGAACACTTTCTCTGTAGTTTCTTTTCCTTTATAATTTACAAAAGTAAAGCATTTCTTAGTGATTTAAGAATGTTAAATGATTCTAAATCAATGTAAATAAGATGATCTACTACAAAACATAAAAAAAAAAAACCCACTGGCTGCCCTTCCAGAGCTCAGTTCAATTCCCAGCAACCACATTAATGGCTCACACCCATCTATAATGGGATCTGATGCCTTTTGTCATGCAGGCATACATACATAAAATATTTTTTAAAATATTTATTTATTTGTTTATTATGTATACAGTATTCTGTCCGCAGGCCAGAAGAGGACACCAGGCTTCATTACAGATGGTTGTGAGCCACCATGTGGTTGCTGGGAATTGAACTCAGGACCTTTGGAAGAGCAGGCAATGCTCTTAACCGCTGAGCCATCTCTCCAGCCCATAAATAAATATTTTTAAGCGCAAATTAAAAAGTGGAAAAGTGAGATTTTTTTTTTGTGGCAGGTACAGACGAAGAATGGCCAGAGATTTTGAAGGTCGGTAGGAAAAGGCTTGGAGTTGACCCTATAGACAGTGTTTACGAATATCCCTGATTCCATTCCTGACTTGTGTAGTTTCACCAAAACTATGCACTAGATGTGGTTATTACCTGTCAATACTCAGTTGTCTTAAGCTTTCACCAAGATTACAGCTTCGGTGGGAAAACTGGGAGGACGCTGGAAGGGAAGGAGGTTCCTGGATAGGTCCCATTCAAGTATCTTGAGCGTCAAACAAAGCTGCCAATAGCCAGCATTTCACAGTCCAGCGGTAGTGGGTTGATTTGATTCCATTGCCTAAGCACATCCAACAAAGACCACATCTCCTGTCCTCTACCCATGCTGCCCATATTGCTGACCACCTATCTCCTCCCTAGGCTGCAACTCCAAGGTGGACACAAGGATCCAAGGTTGTCGCTGCCTAGCTGCTTGCCCATTCCCTAAACTGAAGCTGGCCAAAGGATTGGAAGAGATTGATGGCTCAAGTCAGACTCTGGTACCGGAGATGGCTGTTAACACCCAAAAGGAAGAGAAACCTAGGCTGGATAGGGATGCTGGGTACAACTCACAGGGGTCTGCAGCACCTGTTGTCTTTATTAACTACAAAACAGAGCTCAGTGATGGGGCCAAAAGGGTCTGTTATCTTCTACCCCATCTATTCAATAACCACTGGCTAATGAATGACAGTTTTGTAAGTAAAACACAAATACTTAGTGCAGTGACCTTTAAACTGATGACAAAAACTAAAAAATTCAAAGGGACCTTGTAGGACTCTTCAGTAATGGAAGCCAAAATTAAGCTGGCCGACAGTGATAATGAAAACAGAAGACATATCCAAGTGATCTGTTTTGAAAGATTTTATTTAATTTCTTTTATGTACATTGGTGTTTTGTCTGCATTCATGCCTGTATGAGGGTGTCAAATCCCCTGGATCTGTCATTACAGACAGTTGTGAACTGCAGTGTGGGTACAAAGGATTGAACTGGGTCCTCAGAAGTAGTTAAATGCTTTTAGCCACCGAGCCATCTCTCCAGCCCCAATCCAAGTGATTTTTTTTTTTTTTCAGTTTTTCGAGACAGGGTTTCTCTGCAGCTTTGGAACCTATCCAGGAACTAGCTCTTGTAGACTAGGCTGGCTTCAAACTCAGAGATCCACCTGCCCCTGCCTCCCGAGATTTAATCCTGTTGGGATTAAAGGCATGCATCACCACCACCTGGCCCCAAGTCATCTTTAGGGACCGGGAATATAGCTGAGTTGATAAGAGTGCTTGCCTAGCATTCATGGAGCTCTGGGTTCAATACCCTGTGTCCCAGAAACTAGGCCTGGTGCTGCATACCTATGATCCCAGCACTTGGGAGGTAGAGGCAAAGATCAGGAATTCAGAGTTACCCTTCTTTCTTTGTAAGTTCAGCCTAGACTGAGCTACATGAAACTGTCAACAACAAAATGCAGGAGGCAGATGTTCAGGACTTAATTAATTATATATGGTGCTAGGAGTGGGCACTGAATCCAAAGAAAGAGCTCAGAATGATTCCCAAGCAATGGTGGCATAAGATGAGGGACAGTGGCACTAAGTACAGCATGGTCCCCACTGCAGGAGACAGGCACTGCGGGTTCTCCTATAGCAGGGGGTCAACGAACAAAGCAGAATTGGGCCTTTCCTAGATAAACATGGCTGGCCATTGTATAACAGTTTCTCCAAGATAAACATTTCACCTTGAGGAGGAAGTTAGTGAAGACAAAAGGATATTCTTAAAGGAAATAAAACAGTTAATTCATCAGGGAAGTTTTTTAAGATACAAGTAGCCAGGCCTGGTGGCACATGCCTACGATCCCAGCACTCAGGAGACAAAAGCAGGTGGACCTCTCAGTTTGAAGCAGCCTAGTCAACAAAGTGAGTTCCAGGACAGTTTGGGCTATTTAGAGACACTATTTAACAAAATAGGTTCAGGATGTCCCTGAAACTGGCCAAACTCATTAGGTCCCTCCCCAAGCATGTCTATCATCAGCTGTAAGGACAATTGAGAGACTGTCAGACAAGCCAGGCTGCCTGGAAAAGACTCTCCTGGTTGTTGAACTGCCTGTAAGCTGTGCAGTGCACTCCAGTCTTCATGAGTCACCATCATGTCATGGTGGGGTTTGGTGAGAGAGCTGTGAGTCATCTCTGCTCCCGTACATAACCCAGTAAACTCACTGGCTCACCACTGGACTTTAATAGTGTCTTCACTTTGGTCCGTCAGTGGTTCCCGACTGGGCTGAGTACCCTTGTGTCCTACCATACTGTCTCCCCACAAAGCAGACTGAAAAATGGTCTGATAAGATTTTACTATAACAGAGAACAAAGTAAATCATGGTCAGGGTCTCCAGGAAGTGGCTTTGGTGGACCAAATCATGGGAGGCAAACAGTGGATACCATAATGACAGTAAGGGAGTGCAAACTACAGAACCTGATAGAGGCATGGAAATAAGGTGTTTTAGAAAGACAGAAGGCTCAAGTGAGCCAGGATCCCAAGAGAACAAGAGTTGGGCCTAACCTGACACATTATCCACTGCAGGAGGAAGAGTGACAGAGTCTCCATTATACAGGATCAACAGACCCCAAAGCTACAGAGAAACCCTGTCTGGCTCAGCAGCTGAACCACTGCACACATGCCATATATATATATATATATATATATGTGTGTGTGTGTGTGTGTGTGTGTGCCATATATATAAAGAGGTTAATATCAATCCTGTTTACAGTAAGTTTACACACTGGGGTACTTATTAAGGAAGACCAGAAAACAGGGTCATTTCAGAAACCTGGTATAGAACCCCTGCTTATAGGGAAAAGCAGCATGCAAAGCCGAATCCTACTATTCCCATGTATCAGCCTCTCCCATAACAGGCAGTCAATGACAAGTACATGGGTGCTGCAGAGGCTTTATGCATATAAAGGTGTGTTTGTCTGATGCCAGAAAATAACTCACAAGCTGAACACTGCAAAGGCTTTATTTGTACAAACTTTACATGATAGTTTTGGGGATATATCACTGGGTAAAAAACTTTTCTCTCAGGCCTGTTGCTAAAATGTAAATAAATACAAATCAGGCTTTACTGGTAACTAGACAATCCTTTTGCGCCTATCTTGCTTATAACAATTTCCACAGCACTGCAGTCTTCAGTGGTACTGTACCACTCTGGAAAAGATGCCCTCTGGCTCCTTTCCATCCCCCAGAGCTGCAGCAAATCCTTCCTGCTGCCTCCTCTTAGCCAAAGCTGCCAAAGATTTAAAAGTCTTTGGTTCATAGATGGCCAGGTCCACAAGTACCTTCCTGTTGAGCTCCACCTGGCACTGGGAAGACAAAGAACCACAGCCTGTAGTAAGCATCAGAAACCATTTGAGAAAGCTAGGTAGGTAATGGTGGTGCACGCCTTTAATTCCAGCACTGTGGAGGCAGAGCAGGCAGATCTCTATGCATTCCAGGCTAGCCAAAGACTATATAGTGAGACCCTATCAAAAGACAACAAAAGACAACAGAAATTACTTCAGTAGAATACAGGAGATCCCACGTGGGAAAAGACAGGAGGATGCAGCCATAAGACCTCTAGTGAATCTAGAGTAGCTAGCACCACTCCACTGGTATGGAACAGTTGAGAACTGTGGGATAGGCAGAGCAAGAACATCTTGCCTGTAAAACATAGCAGGATACTGTAGGATAAATGTGGGTAGGGACAAGGAAGAGTCTTGTAGAAGCTGTGACAAAGAAGAGCCAGCTGAAGCCCAAGCCCATAATTAGGGTCAGAGGTCACTTGTGCACTAAGCCTTCTGGCCTGGGCTAATCCTTTACTGTAATTCAGAGATACATAAGCTCATTAAGACTACAGGGCCAGCAGAAGCAGGCGAGTTCACGGTGAGACTCTTCCTTAAAGGAGAGAGAGCCTATAGGGCTGGGAGTGTAACTGAGTGGCAGAGTGCTTATGCACAAGGCCCTGGATTCCATCCCCAGCATGATAATAAAAGTAACAGGTGATTTCAGAAAGCAGGTAACTTCCACCAGTGAGCCGAGAAAAGAAGGGGATGGGCTGCATATAGTAAATACTGCTATCAAGCACTGAGTGACCTGGGACTGACTGACTTGGTGTTCTTGTTTTGTTTTGAGACAAAAATCTGTTATGTAGCTCTGGCTGTCCTGGAACTTACTATTTAAACCAGGCTGGCCTCAGACTCCAGAGATCCACTCCTCCACGTCCTCCCCTCCCCCACCCTGACTGCTGTTATGCACCACCATACCATGCACACCTGGGATTGAGTTTCAGGCCCACATCAGTAGAATGGGAGATACAACATCACCTCAGCTCATGCAGAGGACCCTACACCAAGTCTGTGACAAGGTAGAAGTAGAATGTCTACTCCCCTCTTCCAGAGGACCCAGGATTAATTCCCAGAACCTACAGGGCAGTTCATAATCATCTATAACTCTTCTGGCATTGAAGGACACCAGGCATAGATGCAATACACAGACATACATGCAGGCAAAATAACTTCTGTACATAAAATTAAAAAACAAAACAAACCTCAAACTCAAAAGTTAAAGTTAGTTTTCTACCTTTTTTTCTTTCATACAGAAACATATAAACTGGCAACTGTTGCAGGATATTTAATCACACTGTGTGAGAATGTGTCTCTGTCCTTCCTTGCCTGCCTAAGGCACCTTCTGATTGATTTAATAAAGAGCTGAATGGCCAAAAGTTAGGCAGGAGAGACTAGGCGGAACTTCCAGGCCGAGAGAGGAACTCTGGGAAGAGACATGGAGGAAGTAGGCTGTGCTGTATGGATGAGAGGTAACTAGCCATGTGGCAGAATGTAGATTAGTATAAACAGACTAATTTAAGGTTTTTTTTTTTTAAAAAAAAAAAAAAAGATTTCTTTGTTTGTTTGTTTACTATGTATGCAGTGTTCTGGGCACTAGATCTCATTACGGATGGGTGTGAACCATCATGTGGCTGCTGGGAACTGAACTCGGGATCTCCAGAAGGACAGTCAGCACTCAACCTCTGAGCTATCTCTCCAGCCCAACTAATTTAAGTTTTAAAGAGCTAGCTGGGAATAAGCCTAAGCTAAGGTCAAGTTTTCATAATTAGAAAAAAAAATCTCCATGTCATTATTTAGGAGCTGGTGGTTCAAAGAAAGACGTGTTACATTTGGCACCTCACATTGGGGACCAAAATGTTTTTTTTTTCACCAGTACAACGGCTGCACCTGAATCTACAGCTGTTTCAGCCAGTAGTTGTGGCTGCAGTTACTGGGTCACCTGTTAGGCAGCAGCCTGGTGGGACTTTTATGTCCACTGGATTCACCTCCTGCTGCCACCAACAAATGTAGTTTTTCACCAAATCTCTATCGTTCTGTTTATCAATAAAACTCAGGAGTCAGAGGTTGGGGTGAAAACCTGCTAGCTCAGAAAGGTTGAGAAGCAACTGGCTGGCCTTCCAGCATCTCAGAAATAGAGCATCCTTTGCTCCACCAAACCAAAAAACACTGCCACACTCAAAGTCCCTCCCTGAATCTCTCCATCCGTCTTCCAGACTCCCTCTGACTTTTTGATTACTTTCTGTCAACTAGTTGCTGGCTCTTCCTCCTGACCCAAGGTTGATTTTATTTAATTAATGCAACCGCAAATTCAGGATTCACAGTGTGATTGAATATCCCAAAACAGTCAACTGTATGGCATGCTCTATTTACAATGTGCTGAACTATCAACAAGGCAAGGGAAAAGCAGGTAGGTTTCCAGAACTCCAGAGAAACAACAGAAAGTAGTTCAGGGTGCAGGCCTAACACTCATGTCTACCCATCGACATCTGATGGGCTAATTCCTTTAAATGCTCAACACCTCAAT